AGCCTCTGAGGTCAGATGGCCTTGGTTTAAATGGCACCATCACTGTGTCCAACCCTGGCGTGGGCCCAGTGTGTGCACAGCTATAATCCCAGTACTCAGGAAGCTGAGGTAAAAGGATTTCAAGTTCAAGGCCAATCTTGGTTATTTAATGAGTGGTTATTTAATGAGTGGTTATTTAATGAGAGGCTATACCGAAACAAAACCAGCCCTAGAGGATGGCTTCAAGTCTCATCTAGGCTGACACAAGGACAGGGAATTAACGGAGAAGCGGCTGTGCACAGCCGAACATGGTGGAATACACTTGTAATCCTAGCACCTGGGAGTGGAGGCAGCAGGACCAGGAGATGAGGCCAGCCTGGGCTCCATGAGATCCGTCTCCAAAAATCAAGACGTAAAAGGGTAGATAGGATCAAAACACACTGTACACACGTATGACATTCTCTAAGAAAAAGTATGTAAGAAGCCAGTCAGCTGATGGAAAACAGCCCCACAGAACTTAACGCGATGTCTGGCATTCCATGCAGGGTCACAGGACATCATCGTATTTGTTAATGCTAGATAATTAACATATAGAATTATGATGTCATCACTATTAGTGCTATAGAACGCTGCAGTGGTCTGGCATAAATGGAACTGCAATTGCATTTCATACATTATCATATATATTGCTTATCTGGGTGGGCATGGGCCTGGAAGGAGGCAGCGAAGGAGCTCCCAGAAACCAGTGTCTCCAGTCTGTGGCCACTGTCTATCTCTTGGGACAGTAACGGGTGCTGCTAAGGCCTTTGAAATTGGAGAGGTGTGTGCGTCAGTGGGACAGGATGTCTATGTCTGTCTGGGATTCCTGTGGCTCTTACAGACAGGCATCCATGGTGATCTAGATGGACAAATCCCTGCTTGTAGACCTGGCACTCTTCTAGGGGTGGACAGACAAAATATAAGATGAGAGAAAGGCGATGTCAGAGTGATCGATGGGTGCTGAGAGGCAGAAGCTTGGGTGACAGTGACTGGCGGAGTGTGACAGAGGACCTTCTTTCATGGCTGGTGAAAGCCATGGTGGGGTGCTAGCTGTGCTCACTCGGGGGGAAAGTGTGCCCCTGTGTTCTCGCCTCCATGTACATCCCAGGTTTGAACTCAGGTTGTCAGATTTGGTATCAAGCACCTTTATTCACTGAGCCTTATCAGTGGCCCATTTTTTTTGTTTTGTTTTGTTTTGAGTTTGTCACAAGATCTTACTCTGAAGCGTTGGCTGTCCTGGAACTTAATCTGTAGATTCAGATGAGCTGAAACGTATGTCACTTCTCTTGTCTCTTCCTCTGGGTTGCTGTGGATACAGGTGCAGGCCACCACACCCAGCCAGGTTACTTTCTGTATTGTGATATTCTACGGAGCCCAGTTGAGGTGGTCAGTTGTTCACAGCACAGCTGAGTAGATTAACAGAATCAAGGTTCCAAGGCAAAGCAACCCTTTTACATATTTGGTCCAGTAGAGGGCGCCCTCAGCAAGGAGCAGAAAGAACTGTTGAGGGCCCTAGGGAATTAATTCCGGGGGGTGGGGGGGTGGGGGGGGTGGGGGGGTGGTGTTTCCCCATTCCCATTGTCAGCATGGTGCTTGGAAAGTAGAGCCAGAAGATGCAAGGTCAAGTTCACTTTTTTTTCAGTAATAATTAATACTTCCTTCCTTTTGTTTTTGAGGCAGGGTTTTATTATGTAGGCCTGGCTAGCCTGGAACTCACTATGCAGCCCTGGTTGGTCTACAACTCTCTTCCATGTTGGGATTAAAGACCATGCACCACCATATGTCACCAATGCACCATGTCACTAGGTACCACCATGCTCCACCATGCACCAGCAAGCTCCTCAGTAGTAATTTCATATAAGTCAATAATGTATTCTCATGGTTTAAAAACAAACGTAGGCTGGACATAATGGCGCAAACCTTTAGTCCCCGTACTCAGTGTTTGGGAGGCAGAGGGAGATGGATCTTTGGTCTACAGAGTGAGTTCCAGGACAGCCGGGACTACACAGAGAAATACTATTTTGAAAAACCAAACCAAAACTGACGAAACAAACAAACAAACAAACAAACAAACAAAAAAACAGGGGATGGAGAGATGGCTCAATGGTTAAGAGTGCTTGTTGCTTTCAAAAGGACTCAAGTTCAGTCCCAACACCCAGGTCAGGCAGCTCACAACTTCCTGTAACTCCAGCTCCAGGGCATCTGATTTCCTCTTCTGGAATTTTTCATGTCTGTAGGCTCATCTGGCCTGGGGGCCCACACCTATAATCCCTGCCTTTGAGATGGGGAAGCAGGAGTATCAGGAGTTCAGAGTTATCCTCTGCTATATGGTGAATTAGAGGCCTGCATGGGCTACATGAGACCCTATCTCAAACACACACACACAAAAAGAACAGAAGGGGAACTATCTTAATCAGTTTAAGTGCTTCCTGTGGTGGCATGAGGACCTGATTTGACCCCCTGATCTCACATACAAAAAACATAAAGCCACATAGTGGCTGGGTTTGTAATCCCAGTGCTGGGGAGGCAGGGAGGTGGAGACAATTGGACCCTTGGGGTTGAATGGCCAGCCAGACTCGATTAGTGGGCGAACTCCATGCCAGCTGACAGGGAGGCTCTGTGGAACAGCTCTGGCTGTGCTGGAACTCACTCTGTGGTGTATGTAGTTGTATTGAGCCAATCTCATGTAGCCCAGACTGGACTTCCAACTGGCTGGTTCTGAGGACCAACCTGAACTGATTCTCTTGCATTCACCTCCCAAGTACTACGACAACAGGTGTGTGTCTCTATGCTTTTTATTTATTCAAATGTATGTATGTATATATGTATGTGGGTATGTAAGAGTGTATGTGTGGAGTGTGCGTGTGGAGTGTGTGTGTGTGTGTGTGTGTGTGTGTGTGTGTGAGAGAGAGAGAGAGAGAGAAAGAGAGAGAGAGAGAGAGAGTATTCTGGGTTTTAAGCTTTGGTTAGAGAGACCTTTCCTATTCCAGGCAAGAAAGAAGCACCTCATGTTTTCTTCTGGCCCCTTCGAGGTTTCTTTTATTCATGCTTTGACATTGATGCCTGCTGTGGACAACACCCATCCTTTCTAAGGGCCATCTTCCCTTCCCTTTGCCAAGGACCACTGTGAGCTCCATCAGTTAGGAACTTTATCTTCTCTTTCTCTCTGTATATACGTATGTATGCGGGCACGTGCATGTGTACACGCATGCCGTAGTATGCTTGTGGCGTGATTTGAGAGACTTGGTTCTCTCCTTTCTTCAGGTGGGTCCCAGGGATCAAACTCAGGTCCCAGGCTTTGAACGTCCTGTTTTTACTTTTCATCCACGGCAGCATCTGCTCCCTCTGGTCTGCAGCTCCTGTGCTGCCCACCCACCATTATTAACCCACCGCTGATTGACAGGTCATTAGCTCCTTTTTGTTTTCCTTGTCAAAGATTCTAATACCCCTCCCTCTCCCCCCCCCTCTTTTTTGACTTCTCTATTTTCATTTGTGTGTGTGCGTGCATGTGTGTGCGTGCACATGCATGTGAAGAAGCCTACAGAGGTCAGAAGAGGGCATCAGATTCTCCTGGAGCTGTAATTACAGACAAGGGTGCTGGGGAAGAAGCTACAGCCCTCTGGAAGAGAACGAACCTCCTCTGTCAACCTGAGACCTTTTGGTCTCCTACCTGTCTCTTTTTTTATGAAAAGTTTTTTTTTTTTTAATTAAGCATTTAAATGCCGTATTCCCCAGATCTCTGAGTAGATGAGCGCTGTTTGCCTGGTATAGATGAGCTATAACTACAGTATAGAATCTGCCTGGAGATTATTTTGTAGTTCAGGCAGGCTTGGAACTCTGTGTAGCCCAGGCTGGTTGTCCATGTACAATCTTTCCCCAACCTCCTGAATTCTGAGATGACTGGTGTGAGCTACTGTGCCCAGAGAACCTGGGGCCTCACAGATCCTGGACCACTGGGCCACACCCTCAGTCTCAAGGGTTCTCTTATCTGCTGTACACTGTCTGGACCTTTTCAGTTTGTGTCTAGGACTCTTTTTAGTTAATTGCAAACCAACAATGACCTCTTTTGATGTCTGCCTTTGCTATACACACCGTTTCAATGAAAGCTAAAGGCACCCAGTGAGGCTGGCTGTGTTATTCTAACCACAGGAAGAGAGCAGTATTCTTGGAGGAGTTTCAGGAGTTGCTCCATGGTTTGGGGATGAGAATGACACTGGGTATAATTCCAAAGCTGGGCCTCCAGGACCCGCCTTTCACCTGCCTATAGGACAGACAGTGGATGGGGAGTGATACCCAATGAGGGAATTGGGATCCTTCCCCACCCCAATCAGCTCTTGCTTCAGAGCCTAACGTGACTGCAGACAGTCAGGCTACAAAGTCAACAGTGATTCCTAGTCTGTCCTTTTCCAAATGAAATGCTTCCTTCTTTCCAGTTCCTCTCATCCCAAACCCACAGAGCAAACACCGGGGTTGTGGCCTGTCTTGCCAGCCTGGCTCATCAGACTTGCTGAGTTAACTTATCCTCCTGGAGGTGAGGGGGCCTCACTGGTGGAGGCGAAGGAGAAGAGAATAAGATTCAAGAGAAGATGGAGGGGAAGAGGAAGAAGGGTAGAAGGGGTGGAGGAGGAAGGAGGCCCTGGGAGGAGGGAGAAGGGGCTCGGGGTGGGATAAAAGGGATCGATGAGAAGAGGAGAGAACAAGGAAGAGGGAGAGAGAAGAGAGGGAGGACAACGGAGTGAGGGAAGCAGAGGATGGGAGAAGAGAGAGAAGGAGGAGAGCGAGATTGGAGAACCCAGAAGGTGGTGGAAGAAGAGAGGGGCTGGGGAAGGAGGAGGAGGAATGGGGGGGAACTAAGAGGAAGAGCCCCTCCTCCAATGTTCCGCGGAGTTGCGCAATCCACCCAGGCTGAGATTGGCCTCTGAATGTGCGAGACACTCCGCCCCCGGCCCTCGTGACCAATGGCGGCCTAGGGGCGTGGCCTCCCTGGGACTAGAGTCCGGGCGCGCGATCTGGCTCCGCATTAGCCACGGGCGCCTCTCTCGGAATCTGAATTTCTAGGTCCGAGTTGCCGCCCTTGTCCCCCTAGCTCGCTCTCTGCGCTCGCTCGAACCTCGCAGCCTGTCAGGGGGCGCGCTCACTGGCTCCAGCAGTGTCCTCGCGGCGGCCATGGCCACGAAGATCGACAAGGAGGCGTGTCGCGCGGCGTACAACCTAGTGCGGGACGACGGCTCGGAAGTCATCTGGTGAGCAACGCTGCGGGCCCGGGGATGCCGGTAGTGACTTGCTTCGTGCCGCCCGCCGCTGCCGCTCACCTCTGTTTCTTTTCTTCCTCCAACCCAAAGGGTGACTTTCAGATACGATGGCGCCACCATTGTCCCAGGCGATCAGGGAACGGATTACCAGCACTTCATCCAGCAGTGCACAGGTAGGAACCTGAGACCTTTTGGGAGACTGTGGACACCCTGGGCACCAAGGTGGTTGGGCATCCAAGCAGCAACATATTTGGTCTGTTCCCCTGACTCCCCGTTTGGTTTGGTGTTTCTGCCTTTTTCTTTTTTCTTTTTCAATTTGAGACAGGGTCTTATTATGTATCCAGGGTGACCTCCAACTGGCTATTCTCCTGCCACAAGCATCTAGTTCTGGGATTGTAGGCGTGCACAGCCATGCCAGGCTCTGATCTGAGCTTCCTAAAGTCTAGTGTGTGTCCCTCACCCCCCACCCCCTTTGTCCATCAGCAAAGGCAGAAGTGGCCAGTGCAAATTCCTCCCTTGGCAGTGTCAGATCAGATGGCTTCTTCCGCCCCCTGTGGTTCACTGGGTTTCCAGGTCAGCTCGGCCAGTTCCAACTCCAGTGTCCAACCCTCTCTGATTGGCCAGTGAACAATAACAACGAAGCCCCTGGGGGGCTGCAAGCTGAAGGCAGAACCAAGGGCCCCACCCTCCTTTCTCCTTCCATCTTTGTCCGTATCTGCTTCCGTACAAGCCTTTAATTTGAAGAGTCCAGAGCCACATGCAAAAGGCGGATGCCTGATGTTGCTCTATGAGGTCTGGAGAAAGTGAAGCTGACTTGGGAGGTCCGAGGGGCCGGTTTCATGGGGAGTGAATGGTTACTGACTGGGGTGGGGCATGAGGGAAGCCCTGGGAGCTGAAGTGCCCCATGGTTTGGTGTGAAGGATTCATGCAGGTGTGTGACTTACTAAAAGCATCATCAGACGGGAAACCGAAGGTTCGTGTGTGTTCCAAGCCCCCCCCCCCCCCAGTGTGTGTGTGGCCCATGAAAGAACACATGGCCTAAGCGGCCACAGTCCCTTACAGAAGCAGACCTTCAGGACACAGCTGATAATGTGATCTTTTAAGGAGCTGGTGTGTAGTGCAGTTCGGTGTTCTGCAGAGGCAGGAGGATGGAGAGTTGGGCTGTGCATTCCTGCTCCCCACCCCAGCCAAAAAAAAAAAAAAAAAAGAGCCTTTGAATGAAGAGACCCTGGGTCCTAGTGTCCCCTGTTGTCTCTAGCTTGGGAACTAACTTCAGACAAAGGCAGGCCACCTGGAAGCTAGGGTGTGGACTCCTGGCCGTTGGTTGTGGGTTTGGATCCCAATGGGGCAGCTTCCCAGCTGGGTGGGTTGGGGACAAGTCCCCATGGAGGCCACTGTTCCTCATCTGTCATCTCTTAGCGCTGCTGTGGGATTGAATGATCCCAAGTGTTTAAGGGTTCAGTGCAGTGCTTGTCAGAGTCATTGGCAGCAGACAAACAAAAACCAAGCCAAGGTCACGTGACTTCTTTCCTTAACAGCTTTCTTTTTTTCCTTATTCCTTTTTTTTTTTTAAATTTGCATCTTTTAGCATTGGGTATAGAACTTGCTGGGCGGGCATGCATACACTCTGCCACTGAGGCACATCTCAGTCTTAAAAATTAAAGTATTTTATTTTGAGACAAGTTCCCACTCAGTAGTCCAGGCAGGCCTTGAACATGATATCTTCGTACTTCTACTTCCTGGTTTGTGTTGAAAGCCAGCTTCAAAAAAACTTGTATGTTCCAGGATAGGCGTGTGAGGATTAGAATTATTAAGCCAAAAGAATCGAGATATAGGAGAAATGGGAGAGAGAAACACAGAACAGCATCGGGAGGGACATTCAGCAAATACTGAATTCGCCTGGTTCAATCTTCCCCACGCTTATTATATACTTCACGCCAAAATGGGAGGAGGGAGGCAACAGACTTCATAGCATGACACAAGGAGGAGATTTGAATTCTCTGACCCTTGGTCCAGGTGGAGCGGATCCACTTCAACCCTCAAAGTACTAATTAGTTGTTGTCAACAACTTTGAGAGAGCAAAACCAAACTCAGACTCTCTGACTTCCAGTCAAGATAGAACAGGCTCACAACTGTGGGCCCTCACGGGCTTGTGCCACCTGGCTCTTTAGTTACTTTCTGGCCTCAAACTTGCTAGGTAGCCTGGCCTGGAACTCCTGATCCTCCTGCCTCTGCCTCCTAAGTGCTGGGATTGTAGGCTTGCTTCACCATTCCTGGCTGCATAACTTTTTTAATTGAATCATCTTTTGTCTTTGGTTCATCTCAAAGGGCATTTACTTTGTGCTGGGTGGTACTTAGATTTGTGTGCGCTTGTGTGTTCATGTGTAAGTGTTCTCCCGGCTAAAATGTCTCCTGGGAGTTGCTGCTAGACCCTGTTTTCATTGCTTTTGTAAATAATTCACTGAAAACATCACCCGCAGAAAGTGCAACTCAGCGCTGCCAAGCGCAGGCTTCTGGCTCCGGAGCAGGATCTCCGCTGCTCTGACTGCAGTAAATGCCTCCACAGCAGGGCAAGTGCAGGCTCAACTTTCCCCAGAGTTGCTGCACCGTCAGCAGGATTGGCCTCATAGTCTCTGGGGCTGGGTGCTCCGCGCCCACTTCCCTCCTCACCCAGAGCCCATCCCCAGCCATCCTGTCTCTCTGACTGTTTTCTCCTCCAGGCTGGAGAAGGTGACAGAGGAAGGCCAAGCATCCTGCTGATGGATTTCTAACTGATGCTCCCGGCTGTTGGACATCCGGCCTGGATGCTGCTTGGGGGACACTTCCTTCCTTTGGTGGGCTGTGGCTCTCTGCTCAGGTCTCCCTGTGCTCACCCTCTATGGGGATGGGATGGCAAGCGTCTGGCGGGTGAGCTAAAAATGCTCTGCAGGCTGCTTGCTGGTCCTTGTGAATGGCTGTGGGATCAGAGGCTGGTCTGCCGCAGCTGCAGTCTGTTTCTCCTCCCAGCCATCTGGTGGACAGTGGACAGATGGTTCTGCTTGCCACGTTTGCTCTCTGTCCCTCCCCTGCTGAGTCCCCCTGAGCCAGGGACCTCACCCTCTGCATTCCTGCTTGTTTTCTTACCTTCTACCATACCTGACCTGTGTGTCGGCCGTGCTTCCGGTGGGCTGACTCCTTAAGTGACTTACCTGCCACCACACAGCTAGGAAGAGCAGAGCTGGGACTGGACTCTGAATCCCATTGCTCTGGGCCTCAAGGAAGTGGTTTTGGGTCCTGTTCCTTGTGTGTGGAATGGTTTGCAGATTAGAAGATCATGTTTACTTAACTGTGACGTAGGGGGAGCCTTAAGTCCCCATCAGCTGTCCTTGCAGGCCCCAGAAGAAAGGCTTTTTTTCTTGTTTCCAAGCACCTCAGAGGTGCACAGAGTACAACCCTGCCTTTCTTATGGAATTGTTCTTCTTTTTTTTTTTTTTTTTTTCGAGACAGGGTTTCTCTGTGGCTTTGGAGCCTGTCCTGGAACTAGCTCTGTAGACCAGGCTGGTCTCGAACTCACAGAGATCCGCCTACCTCTGCCTCCCGAGTGCTGGGATGGAATTGTTCTTCTTAATAACTACATAATAATAAAAGAATGACTATATAAATACTAGTTAGCAAAGTTACTTTCACCCCTGTAGCTTCCATCCTGAGACTCTCAGTGGGTGCCTAGCCCAGCACACAGTAGGTCCACCCATATCTTGCCTGTGATGGCCTCCTGTGGCACTAACCTTAGCCTGGGTCTGTTTGCAGAAGCTGCTCCGTCCATGGGGAGAAGTGGTTGCCATGGTGCCAAGGGGTTCAGGCTGTTCTGGATTCAGACTCATGTTCCTGAAGCAGGCAAGCTGCCCATCTGGTGACCCTTCTGCCACAGTAGAATCAGCAGGAGTATATACTGAGGGCGTAATAAGTTCTTCAAATGCCAATGAATAGGATTGGTGTTTTGTTTGGGGACAGAGGTCATGCAGAAGCAGGGTACCTGCTGAGAGTGGCAGAAAGGGGAGGAGGAGAAGATGGGAAGAGGTTGAATGTGCTAGGGGCTTCTGGAACCCCAGAGCCACGTGGAGTCAGGCAGCATTGCAGCTCCGCTCACAGAGGTGGAGGGACCACTTGCCAACCAGAGAGGATGTGCCACCCATATGGCAACTGTAGAAGGGGGCTCATAGGTCTGGCATGGGTGACAGGGCAGAGACTCCAGCTGTCTGGAGTCACATTTTGGTTTTGTACTATACAGACAGCTCAAGAGTCTTTGTGTGTATGCACACATATGTGTGGGTGCATCTGAATGTGTGTGTGCCCAGTCCAGAGGTCAGTGTCAATGTTTCCTTGATCACTCTCTATTTTAAGATTTGTGTATGTGTGTGCACTTCCATGCATGCATTTGCTGTGGTGCACATGTGGGGGCCAGTGGACAGTTTGTGGGAGTCAGTTTTCTCCTCCTGCCACCTAGGTTCCAGGGATCAAACTCAGGCAGTCAGACTTGAGAACAGGCTCTGTCACCTGCTGAGCCATTTTGCTAGTTTGCCTCCTTGTTTGTTGAGACTGGGATTTATACGGAACCTGGAGCTCGACTCTAGTTGACCAGTGCACCCCAAGGCTACCACACCCAGCTTTTGTATGAGTGCTGGAAATTCAGACTCAGGTTCTCATGCTTGTGTAGGAGACCCAGACCCTTTATCAACCAAGACCCCCGCCCCCAACTGCACCGCCCAAGATTCTTTTAGGGTATTCAGAAACTTGGTGCAAGGTTGAGGTGCAGACCAGTCAGGAATGTGTCCCCTTTAATTGTGCTGTTGTCAGTCTTCATAGTCATTCATTCTGTGCTCCGGTGGCTACTCTGTGCTCCGGTGGCTACTCTGTAGTCTCGTTTGGGAAGCCAGGGGATATGTCACAGCATAGAAATTCTTACGCCCAGCAGATGTTTCATGGTCTCCCTAGAGGACTGACTACGAGACCAGGGGCCTACGTTTTGTCTATATTCTTGAAATATTTCTCTCTATTTATTTTCTGGTCCAAAGTGGGACCAGCCTGTGGCTGTTGGACCACCCTTCATCCCTGCAGGGGCTGAGCTACCTCCTCCATCTTTACTACCTTCTGGTTTTTGTTTCTGTTTTCTTTTTTACCTCTTTTTCCTGTGGCC